TATAAATGGACTTGTTTAGAGCTATGCAAAAAACTGACTGATTCCCAACTTACTACATATGTTATACCTTATTACGTGTGAGATAAATAAGTTAGTGTTCCTACCAAGCATCGATACATTCATCTATCTACTGCTGCATATTCTTCTGCCTTTCCCAGTTTATTATTTAGATCTATTGGAGTATTTACTGGATTGCATGCTCGTTTGTTTAACAAAATCAATGACATGCTTATGCTGAGAGATAAAAATGTCTTGTCTTGAGTTACCTCAATCTCAAGAAAATATTTTAACCATCCCAGTGTCTTGCTCTCAAACTCCTTAGCAAAGCATTGACTTAGATATTGTCTCTTTTTACTACCATCCCCTATTACTGTGATGTTATCAACATATACAAGAAGAGCTAGGAACCCTTATTAAGAGTGAGTGTTTAATAAACAATGTATGTTCCCCATTGACTTTACTTATATCCCATTATTATGTTAGCTCTTGTAAATTTACCAATTAATACTCATGGTGATTGTTTAAGTCTATACAACACTTTCTTCAACTTACACACTGTATGAGTAGTCAAATTGCCCCCATAACTTGACGGAATCTCCATGCACAAAGCATTTTTAACACCAAATTGCTGCAAGCCCCAACCAAAATTAGTGTCTAATGATAACAATACTCGTAACAGTATTCCATCTCCGCAACCGGAGCAAGATTCTTTAGATACTTAATTCTACAGATTTGAGCATACACTTTGACCATCAGCCTTGCCTTGTATCTTTTTATCAATTCATCTGCTCTATACTTCACTGCATACATCAATTTATAAATTTACTGGTTTCTTTCCTGCTAGTAACTTCAACTCTCAATTTTTTCTTCTTTCCAAATCTTCTATTTCCACATCCATAGCTTGTTTTCGTTTCTAATTGGTCAAAACATTCGATAAGTGTTGACACAACTATTTTACTAGTTATTTATCATAATATTTTTTCTGTATAATTCTGCCATTAATTTCTCTCATAATATTGTAATTCCTATAGGAAAAATTTCTTTATTTGTATTTAAAAATTCTTATATATATGAGAGTCATTTGTAACACCAAAAATATAGTGAAAAATAAAATAAATATTTTTTTCTAAATTTTTACATGGCATCAGAATAAAGTAAGAATATCTTAGGGTTTTTTAATTTTAGAATTTCTTTCAAACCCTAGAATATTCTCAACATTTACCTAAACGGAGTCCTAACCCCATTGGCGGCCGGCCACCCTATTCCGGTGATCATCTCCGCCCTACTCGATCCCTCTGCTTCGGTCACACCTAACCATTCATGCTGCTTCCACGTGCACGACCTCTGGTTCCCACTACTCCCTTCTCTGATTCATGCAACCCAACCTGACCAATTGGTTTGCACTGCTTCCCTTGTGCCCGATGTCTGATTCCATCACGCACAACCGACACCTCTGGTTCATGCTACTCCTCTGGCTCCTTCGTGCACGCATGACCCGACCTGTCTGCTCATGCATTGTGCCGCTTCTTCATGTTGTTCCTTTGCGCACAGTCATTCCCTTTGTGCATCGCAGATGCGGTCTCGCCAAACCCATCTTCTCTGATTCATGCACAACCACTCGCGCAATGTTCCTGTTTCGCATATCTACTTTCACGCGGCCGCCCACATTTTTTTTTCTAGTTTTTCACATCGAGTTCTTGCTATTTTTTCATGCAGAGCCACGCACCCTTCCTCCTTAACTGGTTATCGCGATCTAATACCTAGTTTTCACACTTCCCATACGTGCAGTGTTGCGTATCCTAGCAAATTGCAATCAGACTCAATTTCGGTTTTTTGTGGTGATATCCTTCTCAGATCTAGCCTTGGTTCTTGTTTCCGGAGTAAAGATATTGGTTGTTCCAAATTCGGGTAACCTTTCATTAATTATTGGTACGTCAAAAATGGTAAACTCAAGTATTGCTCATTTCTCTACTATTTCTAATTCTGATACTTGAATTATAAACTCTGTAGCTAATAGATACATGAAAAACTCTTTTTAAAACTTTCAAACCTT